GGGGGGGTTGGTGTGTTTGTTTTGTTTTGGGTGTTTTTTTGGGAGGTGGAGGCGTTAATTTAAAAAACCCAGTAAAATAGATTCAGCATTTTGATGAGCAGTAACGATTAAATGAAGCTAAATTCAATCAAGCAGATGCTGTGTCAGTTTAAAAAGCATGTGTTCGTTTGACTGCTGTCACTGTATTCTTGCCTCACTCGTATGTATATTATTTGCCTAATATATTGGGAGTCCTGTCCCTTGAAGGAGATAATTATTTTTCTAAAAAGTACTTGTGGCTATTTTTTGCCTTAAAAAAATTATTTGTGTTTCAGTTTAAATTCTGGTATGGTTCTGACACAGAATGTTCTTGATAATTCATAGATCTAAAACCATTAAAGCCAAAATGATAAAAGACAGGCTTTATGTGGAAGAAAAGCTACAGTAAGAGTTGAATCTTGAGAACTGTTTTTTTTTTTATTATGTTTAAATGAATGACTGAAAATACTGGGTTCTCTTCATGTATGTTTTCTGGATTATAAGCATAAACTATGTGTAAAATATATTAACAAATATCATGTCTGAGAAAATGCTGGAAATCTTCTGGTGCTCACCAAACTTTAGGAGGGGCACTTCAGTGGCTCTTGTTTCTTCCTTCTCTTTCTTCATATAAAATATGTTTTAAAAGATACTTTGCTACAAGAAGAATGTGCATGATTTTGTTTCCTGTCCAAATTTTAGCTTTGAAAAAGGGCATTTAAAAAAAATACTCAGTCACTGGATGATAGGGGTCAGAACACGTAATGGATTAATAGTGATGCAATTGCGGTATCTTTAAAGATATGGAAAGTGAGGAAGTTTGCCAGAGATTCAGAATAGTTGCTGAGTTCTCTTTTTATCAAGATGCTAAAACTTTAAAGTAGAGTGAAAATGAAATAGATACGATTTTTCCTTTATAGACAGCTTTGAACAAGTAAAGCTTATGTCTTGTAAAATTGGACCATATAAAATACTGTTCAGATGCTAATTGTTACTTTGTGCCTCTTACAAACAAGACGTACTTGCATGATTAATCATCGTTCTTGTCATCTGATGTCAAGTCATTCTCAGGTTTGTGTGAAAAGAAGGGCAGTGTAATTAAGATAGTGAATTTCATTTTAACTATCCTTGCTTCATTCTGTACCTCTTCAGTCCGTGTTTTTTGTGTATAAATGCTAGTGGGAGGGATGGCGATTTGTTTGTGGCAAGGGAGACACAAACAGGTGCTCAGATAAAAGTGCTGGGGTTGTGAGTGAGGGGCCAGGGTGGAACTGTGTGCGTGCTTGTTGTTTCCATGCGCTCCCTTTTGATGTGTAGTGGTGTTTTGGTGTGTAGGGAGGAAGCTAGTCCCTACCTCTGCAGGTCTGAGCGTCTCTTCCTTGCTTCTTCTAGAATATCTGGGAAGTTTTAAAAAGCAAAGCAGCAAGAAAAAAAATCCCTGTCCTTCTGGAGAAGAGGGGACAAGCTTCTTTGTCTTTCATGAAGTAAGATCCAGGGTGTTTTGTTTCAGCTCCTGCCCTCTGGACTGCTCTTTGAGGCACTGATAGCAGGTACTGTGTGAGGTGGTGCACTGAGCAGGCAGGTTTGGGCTGGAGTGAACAGGCAGCCTGGATGGACACTCTTGCTGTTGCTGGTTGTGTGGAGTGTGGCTGAATTGGGGTGAAGAGTAAGGCGAACAAGGAATGTATTGTCAGGTCATGGTGCTCTCGTGTGTTTAAGGCTACACTTATTTCTTTGGTTTGCTCCATTCCATGTATCTTTCTCTTTAAGACATGAATGTAACACATTGTTAATCCAGAGCTAGTACAGTAACAAATTGAAAAACTTGGTCATAGAAAAGTCACGTGCCCAGCAAATAGCTCTGCTGGTGATGAGCTGATAAGCCCTAGACTCAGGCAACACGCAGCTGTTTTTTCCAGTGCCTTTGAGTGGTGGCATATTGACAAAGGTTTGTCTGACAGTCAAACGTTGGCATTCTGTGAAACGTGCTCTGTTGTTTCGGTGAAAGTATTGTGAAGCGCTGCTTGATGTGCTCTTTCTTCTTACTGGTTATTAATCCCACAGAACCCAGCAGTGACGAGAGTCTCCCTGTGTGCCTGCACTCCCACAGCCTGTGGAACACCGCGCTGAAACGAGCGCCTGAATCACTGCAAGTGCATCTCTGTTCCTTATTCATGCAGTTAAGAAGAGAGGACTTAGGCAGGGCATGGTCTAGTCAACATGTCTCTTCTTACAGTGATAGTTTTACAAAGTTACTTTAATTAGTTCTCCAGCATTTAGAAAGTGATCTGATGAATAAAGATGGAATGCCAGACGAGCATTTCCAGTTACCATTGTTATCTCTGGAGCTGTGAGCTTGCTTGCGTGATGCATAGGCTTCTCCTTTCATGGATTTTTAAAGTTTCAGTTCTGATGAATTCTAGATGTACAGTATTATGGTACCAATTTCTCCGTTGATAAAGTTTTTCCTGTTGGTTTTTATTGCAGATGTGATTAAGTTAATCCAAATAGAAACTGAATGGTGGTCAAAAAGCCTTTGTATAGTCTTGCAGCCTGCTGAAATGCTTCTAGCAGAAAATGAACAAAGACAGCTTTCCTACCTCATGATTTTAGTGAGAGATACAACTGGCAACTCTGGTTCCTGAAGTCAGCGCTTGAGACATTTAGAAGGATCACCCTGAAGTACACAAAACCTGCAAGTTCATTCAGGCAGTGTCTGTATGAGCCTTGTCTGTTGGTTGAAATTTTGAATATTTGATTGGATCATAGTATCCTCTTCAAATAACGTATTTGCCACTCTTCACACCATACAGTGAATTATCTGGTTACTTGTTCTAGTTGTCGACTCAGAGGTTCATGAAGTGCTGCAGTACAGATACAGGTCTACAAAACCCCAACCAAGCACCATCACAGACAGCCAGGTGGTTTAGAAAGGGTGCTTCTTATACCCTGCATTTTTACTGGAGTGTCACTCCTTCCACATCAAATTTGGCTTCTGATTTAAAAAGAAGGCTAAACCATGCTTTCCCTCTTCCTCTCTGCTGTTGAGCAATATGCTATAAAACAATTATCTTCTTGTAAGCTGCTGACTCTTTCTAAGGTGGAGATACCTAGTTTTTTAGAAGTGAGCTGGAAATCCTAATTTGTAGTTCTGCATTTTAATCAGCTGTTTGCTCTTAGAGACACTTATAATTTCATCTCAAAAGTTTTCAGGAGATGTTTGTAGAAGAGAGTGTAAGGAACTCTAGAAATAATGAATTGTATTTCTTTTCACTGTTGAAACATATGCTTGCCATCTCCTGTTTTTGCTTTATGAGATAAAAGTATGTACATTCCATTCCTTCTGTGTGTCACTGCAGTTGATTTCTACTCATTTTTATTTTTTGCATGTTGGGATGTTATGGTAACCAAAGGCATCATTTTAAAATATGTTTGAATGTTAAGCTTGTGTTTCAGGGTGACTACTGGGAGGTGGTACAGGAAAGGAGGGTTTTTTCCTAGCTTGTTTTTTATTCAATGAGATGGTCTAGAGGAACCTTGGTGTGTGCTTGCAGAAGGTTGCGGTTTCTGTCTTCAGATGCCTTGACTGTTAGCAATAATCTACTTCTTGTCTTGAAGCACTTGCCACTCTTAACAGATATCCTTGGGTTTTGGTATGGGATTTATTTAGTAAATGCATAAACCATCTCTAGATCATATATGTAAGCTTACGAAATGGAAAAAGGGGAGGGAGAGTAGATGGAGGAGGTAAATGAAGCAGAGCTGAGGAGACTGGGTGATGGAATTGAGTCACATAATCAAACTTGCAAAAGATTCCCAAAGTTGGTGCTTGTAGCAAGTGAACAATATCTGTCTCTTCTCTGTGATTTTTGTTTTTAGTTCTTCAAGACACATGGGTAAAGATGGAGGGTATCAATGCTGCTTTCTCGGGCATCCTTCCTGATCCTTGTTCTGACTTTGTAGGGGACTGTAGAGAGCAGAGGTTGCTAGGAGAGTGGGGTATCTTGTGTTTTTACAGCAGTCTTTGATTTCATTATGCCTGTAGCTGCTTCTGCTGGCAGCTGCATTATGATGGCTGCAAAGTGTGCGCACAGAGATGCGTTCTGCATATGGGGGAGATGGATTTGGTTTTGGGTTTTGAAATAAAGTAATTCTACTTACGAGGGGGTGCTTTGTGTCAAATCAGGCTACATAATTGTTCCTAACACTGCTTTTGCAAAATAAAATAGTTTTCCTCTGGTTGGTTGGTTTGTTTTTAAGAATAACGACAAATTATTCTTAATGAGAAATTTTTTTTGTAATAAACTTGCTTAGAGGACCATTAATAGGATAGTATGTTTAGACACGGGGGTTTTTGCTGAAAGAGTGAAAACCTTATTATCAGAATTACTAGCTAGCTGCAGTTTTCCTGTTTGGCCTTGTTTGGCAGAAAGGGAGTGATGCTGATCATTAATTGCTGTCTTGTTGAGAGAATCTCCTTAAGGCTCTTTTTCAGATGATGTCATTTTGTATGAGTTCAAAAACCTGTGTGTCTTGTTTCTTCCTCCATTGTTTTTCTATGTGGAGTTGGCTGAATCTGTTTTGTCCTGTTGAAATTAGTGTAAGTAAAGCATTGGCCCCCAAACTTCCAAGACTTTCCTGAGAAATTCCAGATCCCTGACAACAAAGTGAATTTGTTCAGTTGTGTTCTGGTTTTTGTTCAGTTGTGTTCTGCTTTTTTTTTTTTTTCCTTAATGTCTCTGGAATAGTGAATTAACATTTGTGAGTGTCTTGATTTCAAGGAAATAGAGAACATATTGCTGATACCTGCACTAAAGAGTCTTCAGGTAGGGTAAAAATACTGAAAAACTATTCACTGTTCCTCGTGGGTATAAATACAGAAGCTTATTAACAGTGGCCTTCATTGAATATTGTTTGATTTAAAATATGGCCCAAGTTACGGTGTCTCGGTTCTTTCACAATAAGACATTAGCAGAAAAGGTGTAAGATGCAACTTGTATTTATTGAATTTTTTTTGACTAATTGGAAAGGCATAGTTTTGGTAAGACTTGAACTTAAACGTTTTTGTATCATTGAGGAGATTTTTCTGTTTAAATTTCAAACCTGTGCTAATTCTTATTTTGATGGATTTCATGCTCTGGATGTATCCAAAAGGTTTACCAAGGGTATGTGATATAATATATAGAGAGGTTTTGTTTCTGGTTCCATAAAATTTTCTGGAGGAAGCAAAATTTTTATGTGAGCTAGACTGGGTTCTCAGCATGAACTTTAATGGGGTTTAAGGGCCATTGAAATCTCTTCTGTTGTTGTTTTTTTTTTTTTCACACACAGAATTTTGCTAGGTTTTAGGGCATTTCTTTGACCTGGTTTCTCCAGCATTGTGTTCTTTTGGGGGTATGCATATCTAAACATTGTCTAGCAAAAAACCCCACATCTGCACACCCTTTGCTTGCTTAGTAGAAGGAAGAACAGATTGATTGCTTAGCATAATATATTGCTTTGTTCCTTCTTCCTAGTTGTAATTGCTTTTTTATTTTTAAAAAATATTTGTTTATTGTAAACAGGTAGATGAGCTCCTGACCAAATTTACTGAAGCAAGCAGCTATAAAAAACAGTTGAAAAGCAAGTATGTGATCAGGGTGTGTGTCATCAGTGTAAAAGAAAGGAAGAAATGTCTGCCTTGCTGTAAACAACAATTAAGTTTTTAGGAACGGGACAAATCACCCATTTGAGTTAGAATTCAGGACCCTTTGTGGCACCTGTATGAAACTGTGTTTCCTTGTGTTAACCTTGATTCACTGACATTTAAATACACATCTGTGGTCACTGGAAAAAAAAAAAGGAAGATAGTTTTGTATCTGTGTGTATTTGGTTCTTTGGCTAAACTGGTATAACTGCAATTGTAGGTGTCATAAGTAATTGGACTAATTCTACTTGAGTACAATCTACAAAGGTTTTACTGTAAACAAAGAATTAACAGTTGGAAGCACTTCCAGTTCTGTGGATTAGCTGCAAAACTTTATTTGACCTGAAAAAAAGTCAACAACTTAAGTCAACATCTATACAGAATT